TATATATTCAATATATATATATAAATGCAATGTATATATATATATATATTGCAGTTTATTGTATTAATTCTTTTTTTATATCAGAGAAGACTTTTTAATTTGCTAAAACATGGTGAATAAGTGCAGTTGTTTAAGCTAACACACAGCTCGAAAAATAGCATTTGTTATTAATGTAACGATCGAGAAAATTTATAGATATATTTACAACAAAAAATTACTACTATTACAAACCTTAAATAATTCAACTTTTATTACAAAACGAGTGTTAATACAAATAGATAGCATTTATGAGTGTTACATGATTTAAATATGTACAACAAATTCTTACAACCACGATGGTATGAATGACATCTTATACGCTTAAAAATATCTTTGGTTTACACTTATATTCGTTGAATTTCAACCCCAGTAATGTCCTCCGTGACCCCCGTGACCTCCGTGACCCCCGTGATGCCCGTGTCCACCATAACCTGAGTGAGACGTATAGTGATGGAAAGAATGCGTATGATGGGGAACACTACAAAGTAAAAGATAAAGTAAGATCATTTTTAAAAAATTAAAGATATAAGAAAGAAAAAAAAAACAATACTTACGGGTATGGTATAATCTTTTTTCCACCTCCCCCGTGTGAAATTGGAATTGGTACAGGTATGGGCAGAATGTGGTGTCCACCATGATGTTTCATCATACCTAAGGCTAAACCTGTTATTAAACTACCAATACCTTTACCCTTATCTCCCATACCAGCATCTGTACCAGTCAAAAGTAACGCTAAGAAAACACACAGGAGTAAAGATCGATACTCTGTTCTCATTTTGTCTGTAACAATTTGTCAAGCTATAAGTAAACTTAATACAAGTGCAGTATATGCATAAGATTAGTAAGCAGACTTACAACAATGACGAGAGTGTGTATCCAGCTCGAAAGTCTACACGACATCCCCCTTGAATCCCTTTAAATACCCTACACGGGGAAGTATAACAATTTAAAATAGTTCTTTGAACTTTTTGTAAATTCCGAATTTCTTCCTTTTTCGATGTCTTTTGTCCTGATTTTTCAGTAGATGACGTTAAATCACTCTTCAAGTTCACGGACGAAGTCATTGATGCATTAATGCCATCTTTCAACTGTCTATATTTCCCCAAAGGATTTTTTTATATATTTTTTGGAAAGGGTACTGTATTCCTTTTGATACTTTTCAAGGTCACTTCCATGACTAAAAACTTTAACTCTTTAAGAAGGCAAAACACTCTTGGTCAATATTTCTTAAATGAATTCTTAACAATTGTTATAGATATTTTTTTGACCTTAATATTATAAAATGTATTTTTAATAGGGATGTTGTGTGTTGGCTTTAGGGAAAAATTCATTATGCTTTTATAAAGGTAATATTGTTTTAGCTGATTTATTTCATTTTATTTTTATATTTTTTTCATGAGGATAAGAGTTGAATCACTTTTCATCGATTCCAATAAGTTTTAATAAAAGTAGGCTGATTACATATATATTTTTTTATTTATTTTACTAACAATGTCCTGTTTCTTTTAGGTAAATGATTTAATTGATTATCATTAAACGTATGAAGTAAAAGAAAAATAAATCTTTAAGCTTTTATAAGTTCATTTTTTACAGTTTCTCTGTTGTTTCGGTGCGTAATTAATTGATTTTCTTCGGGGAAAAATTTAATCTGTATAATCCAGAAAATCTGAAATCGACTAAATAATTTGCATTTTTTTCATTACAATTCTTGATATTCGAGGGTGAAAAACACTGGATTTCATATATTAACAAGACTTCACACTGCAAAATTTATAAATAAAATTATAAAATTACTATAATTTACACATAAAAAATTCCGCATTTATACAGCCTTTAACTTGCAGAATATTATAAAAAATGGCTGTAAAATTTGTAAAATTTCGTATATTCGAATACAAATATATGCTAAACGTAAACAGTAGATTTTCAATACGTTCTGAATTGAGGTAACAAAGCAGAACATAAAAAGCTTTCAAGCAAATCTTTTACGGGTTTTAACATTATTTTGTATGTTTATGACATTTTTAATGGTATTTAATGACGGAAATGCAAGTTTTGAAAAAGTTTCTAAATATAACTTGAGATGTAGTAAAAATTCTTTAATAACTATAGAATTTTTACTGAGAATTTAAATATAACTTCTAAAAATTGTGATAAATTAAAATATTGTAATTTAAAAAATAAATAGTTAAATTTTTATAATAAAATTTATTTATTTTTATATAATGCAGGGTGAGTGAGAATTTGATAGCGTCCGAGACGGACACGAATATAGAACTTTACTCTTCTAACTTATCACAATTTATATCACGTATTTGCATAAAATGCTAAAGTTTGGAGCCCTAAGTGTCCAGGCACGAACCAAATTCTATGGGCCCTCTCTATTAAGATATGATTACATTACAGTTATCTGATTATCTTTAATTAGGTATTAGTTATTAGAACTAAGAAGTTTGAGTGGGCTCACTCCTTTCATAAACCATGAATGGAGCGTGGAGACTCCCCACAGGGTCGTAATTAGGTATTTATCTGAGGTATCGGGCGTGGAGGCAGATTTTATCGACTGATATTATGGATAGTTCACGGAAAAGAAGTTGGCTCTTTTCACAATCTCCCCATTAAGAGAATTACGAGAAATATAGAAGCATAAAGAGGCTCCATGCCTCTTCTTTATGCTTTCGTGTTTCTACTAATCAGTGGAGTTTGCAGACGTTGCAAGGGCGAAACACCTCCTCAAACCCCCAAGTAGCTTCTCATGCCTTTTCGAATATAAAAATATTTTAATAAAATAAATAAATACAGGCTTTTTACAGAAATAAACTTTAATTTCATTGTTTTAAAATTATTTTTTTACATAAAAACTCGAATTTTGAATACCTGCGTGCAGCCTTTGATTATCTGGATTTATTTTCACTGAAAATTTGTGTTTATATATTTATATAAACATCTTAAACATTTATATTTTAAAAATAAATGCTAAAAATTAAAACTTTTATTAAAATATTTCATTTAAAAGTTGAAATAAAAAATATTTTAAACTTATTTTTGTTCATTGATATACTGATTAATACTGCAAAAAACTTATTTCCTTGCATTTTTATAAACTTAAAAATAAAATGTTTACATAAAATAATTAAGAAATATACTTTTAAACATTTTATTTAGCGTTATAAACGATAAAATTGTTTAAAGTTCTTGAAATTATATTTTATTAATGATTATTACACTTTATTGGCTAATCGAGCTAAAATTGTTATTTAAAAATATAAAATAATTTTTAAAAATAAATTAATATTAGGATTTTAAATTAACTTTAATTTCTTAAAGTATTTTAAAATTATTTAAAATATTCGTGATTCTTATGTTACTATTGTCCTACGAATAAAATTATTTTTGCTAATGAAGCAGTGATAATTACACTTTAAATTAAAGCCTATTTTTAAAAATAGCCTAATTTTCTTTTAATTTTAACAAAAAGTAATATTAATTAGTTATTAATTTTAAAAAATAATTGTATATCCCGAGTCTAAATCAGTCCAGATTATCGCGAATCAATTATAAATGTGAGTCTTCAGCGTTCTCTTACAGTCATTAAAACACGAATAAAATCAATGAAATTAATGAAATCAAGATTTATTTTATTATTTTATATTAGTTTATCATCAAATTTTTACATAAAATATTAAATTCTGAGAGTTTTTTATGAGTCTAACACGTGGAGGAATGATCCTGCTGACCTTTTCATCTCAATAAATCAGTCGAAAATAAATTGTAATTTTTTTTTGTTTTGTAGTTTTTAAATATTAAAGAAACATATTTAATATTAAATAATAAAAGAAAAAATTAACACTTTTCAGTTATTTTAAAGTTATTTTTATTTATTTCATCCACAAAAAGCAATTGCGTATTTACAGCTGTTATCAACGATAAAAAAAAAAATAACATACAAACAATACAAAACTGAAACACAAGAAATAATTTGTCGGTTTTGAACACTTCTCTCACCATCCATGCCTGAAAAATTTTAAGTATGCATAATTTATTACAGTGAAATAAATATACATATAAATAAATTTAGTAAAACAAGGGTATAAAATGAAACTTGCCTACCCATGGAATCCGAAGTGCATATGATCATCACCACCATGATGACTCATAATTGGAATTGGAATGGGGATAGGCAAGATATGTTTATGATGATGTTGATTCTGCATGGCCATCATTAAGGCTGCTAAAGCCAGTCCTCCTCCCTTCATTCCTTTATCTCCCATGCCTGCTAATGTTAACGTGAATGATGACGCCAGCAAGACAACAATGGCAAGAGCTGAGAATTTTGTACTGTTCATATTGATAAATCTGTTAAGAGAAAACAAAGTTAAGTATAATTTTTAACACTAAATTATTATATGGAAATAGTTAAATGCTTTCTTACCTAAGAGGAGACTACTCTTTCGAGACTGTTCGCTTTTGTACTGATGAAGTGAGCCCAGTTCTGCCTTAAATACTCTTTAGTTTGTGGGATTTTGAACCGAATTTAAATTTATTTTCCTTTTTCAAGGACACCTGTCCCATTTTTTTTTTCCACAAAAATGCAATTACATAGTTTACCTTCTGTGAATGCACCTTCATTGGACCATTGTGACACACTCTTATCTTCTATCTAGGTTATTTGAGAAGTAAACTGGAGTATTCTTTTAGTGATCATTATCAATGGTACTATTTCTTAACATCAATAAGTGGAAAAAATCATTTTTTTTTAATTGTATTTTCCTCATATCGAAGAATCTTCACAATACACAGTTCTGTGTTAATAGCTAGTAGTATCAAAAGAGGTTATACAAATAGAATTTTTATATTTATAAAGTATGATTTTCATATAGAAATTATATTTAAAAGTTTTATAATACCACTTTTAATGCTGGGCACATTCCTTATTGTATATTGTCACGGAATATGAATGCATGCGATGAGTTTAATATTATATAATTTTCGACAGACAACGAAAGTAATTTTTAAAAAATAAAAATAAAAAAATAACTTGCATACAAATGGCTCTCTTATTCAATGGCATGATGCTATTTTTACTTTTTTGTTGGCCCAATTATTTTAAATGTGTCCTAATTTTAATTATAGTAGAGTTATACTATAATTCAATCGACTTAATCAAATATTTAACTTATAATGATCACTATTTTGAGGTCAAATTTAATATTAAAGGATCCTTTATATATTTTTTCAAGCATTATTGTATCATTAACATTTAAACTAGGTATAAGGTTTGCTACATTTATACATTAATATTCATAGTTTAAAATTTTTATTGAATTTTAACTATTAAAAGAAGTAAATATGTCAGTAATTCTGATAATAATTGATTTTTTCCTGTATTAAAAAAATATATGTTTATTATTATCAATGTCAAACTCGTGTTTTCTTCTCTTGAGGGAAGTAGAAATTTGAAAAATAAAACTTCAAGGTGAATTATGGCGGTAGTAGGGTGTAGGCTTATAACAAATTTTAATTTGTTCCTCTTACATATATAGGTCTATCATGTAAATTTATGTAAATATATAATAAATAAATTTTTTAAATAATTAAATTATAGTTCAGAAATGAACAAATTATAATATAATGCATATTTTACAATGGTTCCTCTCAAACATAATTGAAAGTCCTTAAAAAAATGGTTTCTTTGTTTGTATAGGGGAGGGCTTTTTATGGGAAACTGACCCGTATTTAGATGTTACAAACGTGAAGAATACCCGGAAAATTGAC